CCCCAAAACCCCAAAACCCCAAAACCCCAAAACCCCATATAAAAGAATAACACTTGATGGTGATAATATATAAATATGAATAAACTAATTCACTTTGAGGAAAACTTATCTGAAGAACTTCTTGATGAGGATGTCTCTGTATCAAGATTAAACATGTCTCCCAACATTGAAAAGAATATGGTTGGATCTCCATTCCATTTCGGTCATAATTTCATGAAATTGTGTGATAAAGAGTCCTGTCCAGAACCTAATTCTGCATGCAAGTCACCATCCTGTGCAAGCAGTACTCTTGAGGTACCTTTAAATGGTTTTTCTTGTTCTAAATCTAAGAAGAATGATAGAGCTCAACGAGCAAGTTTGAAAGAAGACATAAAAGATCTTCTGCATCAAGCAATAAGACTAAGGAGTCTTCCAAATTGCAACAAGAAAGAAAAATGTGAGGAAGTACCAGCTCTCCGTCGCTTTAATGGAGAAGTCACCATGAGAGACATTGAAGCTTCTTAAAGCTTTATCAATATTATCTAATAATTCATTCATAAATATTATATAATAAACTGATCTTTACCTTGGCCATTATTCCTTGCGTCTTGTCGATAATCACTCCTAATGATGCTCATCGTTTTCTGGATGGTTAAACTTGGAATTGTCTTAAAAATTTCTAAAATATAATATAACTTTGTCATGAATCACTCTAAAAATATATGCTAGAAATGTTTTATTTCATAATTTTGATGAAAAAACAACTTAGAGCTAGAGTTAGCACTCAAGTTACATTGTTGCATAATTTTGTCTAATTAGAACCAATATTATATTCCGAAACTCCTGCTTGAGTAGATTAATAGGGATTCTGCCAAATTTTTATGGTGATACTTGGTTATTATAAAGCAAATTTTGGTGATGAAAGCTGCTTACTACCCATCCTCTTTAACTAAGGACGAAGCTTTAATGACTATACAACATATTTGACAATATTTTAATACTAAATAAGTTCTTTGAGGCCATATTTCATAAATGCTTGCAATTTTCTATCTCAATAATTTAGCATTTTCACCGCTGGAATAAACTGCCTCAATGGTTTGTTTCTACATGGGACCTTGACCTTGAGAGTTCTTGTTATTAATATCTGATTAAATTCTTGAAGAAATTTTATTAGATTATAATATTGTTCTGAAAGGATCTTATTCTTTTTATTAAAAATCCAAACTTTACTATCTATTTTACTATCAGCTTTCACTGAAAGTACGAATCAAAAATTTCATCTCATAAGGTTGAGCCTCTTGCTTTCCCATTCCAGACCAGCAACTTTAAGGAAAATATCTATTTTACAGCAAATTTGTTGCATGAAAGCTAAACTTTATTTTTGTCAAGCTTCCTATTGAAGTTTTACACAATTTCAGGATTTGAAAGTTATAAAAAGGTTAGTTTCACATAACTCTCAATAAGTAGAAATATTGGCATGATGTATGATACAAGACGCCTTCGTTAAACATATTCAGGATTCTATTAGGCTTTGTGGCTGATTTAGAATCGAACTTATATAAATATAAAGGAAGAAGCTTCAAATCGAGCTGGAATAAATCCGGTACTCAGCTAGTCCATTCCAAAGTTAGTTAATAAATCCGGGGCAAGAATTAATAGAAATTCTGAGTTAGCTTTTCTCAATATGGAGCATACAACCTCTTTTCTGCGTCGAGAGTCTTTAAGATATGCTCTACAGCAAGCTTACTCTTGCATTGATAGCTATATTAAGAAGTTGACAAAACAAATTCTATTGTATATAAGAATAGAGTCATATTCATAAAGTAAATTATCAAAAATTTCCTTCTTATCCTTTTCAGAAAGTTATGGTTAACACTTTTCAATGATTTTGGTTGACTTGAAATTTTTGACATTTTCTAGTAAATAATACATGAGTCATGTACTTGGCCCGATTAGAGGAGAGAAGACTCCAAAATGAAATTACTAGAGATCAACATTTTACAGGTTTGGTGATTAATTTTGATCAGAAATCTTGAAGAATAGTTTCTTATTTTTAACCATGATAACTGCTTTTTAATGATAGGAGTATAACTTGTTCCATTACGATATAGAGTTAAGAAAAGTAAAACACTGGAGGAAAACTGGAAAGAATTCTTTTAAATTTCAGATTCTCACTGCCTAATTTCCTCATCTCCTCTAAATTCAAGTTCATCAACAGATCTAATACTAATATTTATAATGAACAATACAATCTATCCACCGCCTTCGGGGTTTTGGGGTTTTGGGGTTTTGGGGTTTTGGGG